GTGTTCTGTATGGCTGTGAAATACCCTCACAGGCTTGTCTGTTACATACTTGGTCCCTGATGCTGGTGCTTTTTGGGAGGTTGTAGAACCTTTAGGACATGGGATACATCTGGAGGAAGTGAGTTGGCTGGGAAGCTAGCCTGCAGGGTTATAGTTCTTACCCCACTGCTAGCCAGTATCTCTGGGTTTTGTTTAGAAAGATTGTGTTCCAGCCACCTACCACCACCACTATGAACTCCACTGTATTTTCCCCACCATGGCAGAGCCAAATTAAACCCTCCCTCAAGATCCTTGTCAGGCCTTTTTGGTCACAGCAATGAGAAAAATAATCCACATACCTGGTGTGAGAATCCAAGGATCCCTGAGTTTTATCTTGTTCTTGTTTTGACTTATAGAATTGAAAAAGTAGATACAAGTTAAAGACAGGCTAGATTAAGTCTCAAATGTTATTTGACCAGTTGCCATAAGGTCCTAAAAGAGAACTGATTTTACAGAACAAGCTGTTTATCCAAGTTCAAAGACATTCTGCAACCTTCTCAGCCAAACATTCTGATATCACATGTTATCTACTATCAAAAGTTCCTGTCATGTCTCAGGAAACTTTCTGTGTTACAGGCTAAGATGGAATCTTGGTCAGTCTCTCCCTTATCAAGAGAAGGCTGAATTTCTTTTAACCATCTCTCGTCTTTCCAAAGGACAAGCCATAGGACAAACTATGTAGGGCAAAATGATCACAAAGTTAGTTCATCTTTTACCCAACACCAGGTAAGGAGTCAGGCAGACCAGGCAGTTCCTAGAACTTGTCCTGCACTCCTAGTTCCCTTCTACCCCAAGACAGCTGCTGACCCAGACTCCTTTGACTCAGAAATGAAATTATAAAATGGTCTTAGTGTGTTTATTAAGATATATTATATGTACTATAAAATTCTCCACTTTAAATGCACACTTCAATGGTTTTAGCACATCTACTGTTGAACAACCACCGTTAATCCTAGAATGATCCCATCTCCCTTTCCCCCCCTGGAAACTTGTATTTATGAATAGGTGGCCATCATTACTGGGTGCTCTTCTGGGTGTTCTGCCCAACCTGAGGCTGGTGCCCTCCACACACTGTCAGCAGCCAGCATGTTTCAAAGCAGCCTGAGGAGCACAGCCAAGGTTTTCCTAACTGTGTTTCCAAACACAACGCCTGGGTTGTTTGTTTGTTTGGATGGTTTTTTGCTTTTTTCTTTTAGTTACACACTAGTAGTAGCCATGGAAAGAAAATATTGCTGTGAGGCTAGGGATGTGGCTCAGTTGGCAGAGAGCTTATCTGGCAGTAGAGCACCAACTGGACTTAGTGGTGTAGCCCTACAATCCCAGCATGGGGAGGCAGAGACAGGAAAACTAGTTTAAGGTCATCCTTACCTACTCATCAAGTTTGAAAAGCCCAGGATACCCAATGTCCTGTCCTAAAAACAAACAACGCCCCAATCAATGGTATGTATTTCCTCCCTAGTGTTTCAGAAGAAGAATCTGGTGGGACAGCATCTGTCAACCTTCAGGTCCCAGACCTAGAACCTGACCCTTGAACTGGAGCCTCCTCCTGGGCCAGGTTCTAGGAAACCTGTGATTATTTGATTAAGAGATAAAGAAAAATGTATTATATTGGTTCCTTTTTTCCCCCTTGGAGACAAGATCTTTCCATGTATCCCATGTGATCCTCCTGCCTCAGCCTCTTGAGGGCTGGAATTGTACTACTGCACCTAACTTGTCTTAGTTCTAATTTGACATTTATTCCAAAGTGGAAACATATTAGTTTCCCACCTCCTGCTCAAAAGGTCAGCACAGGAAACAGTTCTACCCGTTTCTGGGCATCAAACCACACTGCTCAATGCTGTTAACAGGTCAGGAAATTCCCAGTCTTCTTTAATTCATAGACAGTGTATAAGGAATCGTCTTCACAACACCAGATAAACACACTGGAAATTTTTCTAATGCAATTACCAAGAACGGTGGAAAAAGAAAAACAATTCAGAAATGGCCAACAAACGTCAGAATAGTCTGAAATAGACTAAATGATGTGTTGCAGTCTAATATGCACAACTTCACATTTTGACAAATACAAACATTACGTGGAAGTCAGAGCTGGCATTCTGTCCTTAGGAAATATTCCTGTCATTTGCCACTATGGGAGACAACAGCCAAGGGGAAGCTTTAGTTCTTTACACAGTATGGATGTCCTTAACTTACAGTGGGTTACATCTCAACAAACTATGGTAACTGGAAGCTTTGCATGCATTTAAACATCTAGCCTGCTAAACATCATAATTGAGCTCTGCCTAACCATGCTCAGAAAGCATACATTACCCCACAACTAGCTAAAACCATTTAACACAAAATCCCATTTTATGGTAAAGAATATATCATGCAATTATCAAATACCTGCTGGAGGGGCAGATACGGCTCCACAGTTAAGAGCACTTCTGGCTCTTCCAGGACCCAAGTTCAGTTCCTAGCCTCCAAATTTACTAGCATTAAGTTCACTCATATTTTCAGGTCTGGCTTTATCTCAGGGAAAAAATGCTCTATTTTTTTCCTTTAAATGAGCTTTACTCTAACTCTAAATCACCACCATCAGCGCTGGAGATTATAGCAAGAGTGATGCCATTCAACTGTCATTTAAAAGCCTGGGAGCAGTTTGAGAGAACTTGAACAGCTTTCCCAAGCCAACACTTGGCAACAGCAGAGGAAGGCTCCAGGGCAGGGAACAAAGAAAGAACTGTCCACAGAGGCCCCTGTGCAGCAAATGCCCCGCAGACTGGTGCTACCCTGCTCGGAAACAATCTCCTTCCATTTTGAAGGTTTTAAACATAATGTGCATATTTGGGGACCACGGGAGAGAAAGTCTGCCACCTACAGGTCAAAGAAAAGAAGGCCTCACTAGTCTTTTTGTAGAGCAGAGTGCTGACTGACCAATGGACTCAAGTGTTCTAAGTGGGGCTTTAGGAGTGTAACTGGGTGCAACACAGGAAGGGCCTTTTGGAAATGGATGCTGCCTTCATGTTTCTGCTGTGTTAACCTTTTCATCAACATGATGCATGTGTTTTGTGCTGCACTGCATTTGTGGTAGCCAAAAAATAAAAAGCCGAACCCTGATACCCCAGCTAGAACAGAAATGAGAATGAGAGCTCTTCCATGCCTTCAGCATGCCTTTCTCATTGCTAAGAATTATCTGAATGAACAACGGAAACTTAATACTGTGGGTAAGTACTTAGAAAAATATAGTCTATCAAGATACAAGTCCAGATGGGTTACGTATACACAAGCTTGGGAGAATTAACAGCCTTTATGAGACTGTCATTCTTCATCTTCTGTCGTGGGATATTTGTACACTGTGTGAGGCTGTATTAGGTGTGATTAGTGTAATAAAAAGCTGAACGGCCAATAGTTAGGCAGGAGGTATTAGTGGGATTTCCAGGGAGAGAAAAGGAGGAGGAGAAAAGGGCGCAGGAGAAGCCAGAGGACATGGAAACAGGAGGTACAAGATGGAAGAGAGGTAACAGCAAATGATAGAACGTAGACTAATATAAATGGGTTAATTTAAGTTATAAGAGCTAGTTCAGAACAAGCCTAAGCTATAGGCTGAGCTTTCATAATTAATAAGAAGTCTCCCTGTCATTATTTGGGAGTTGGCTGTCAGGACAGAAAAAGACTCATTACCATCTTCCAAACCAGGACTAGCTGTAAGGTGGAGAAGAGCCCCACACAAACAGGTGGTGGTGAGTCACAGTGTAGAAGTGATGGTGACACCACTGACCTCTTCTTAAGAATATTAGGTAAGATACTGAATAGATTAATCTACAGAAGTAGATAATTTGGTGTTACGTTCAGTGATGCCCCTTTGGGGTCAAAACATATTTACACAGACACACACATTTAAGAGGCCTTGGAAAAACATCCCTAAATGTTAATAGTGGTTATACTGGTTGTAAGGATTGAAAGAGAAAGACAAAAGAAAGGACCAAGACAATCCTCTAAAGATGTGCTTAAATAACGGAAAGAAGGCAGACATGATGGAACTATTTGGGATGGACTAGGTGTGGCCTTAATGGAGAAGGTGTGTTACATTGGGTGAGGTCTTTGAGGTTTCAAGACTTGCATTATTTCCATCCCAACCACCCACCTCCTACTGGTGGATCAAGATGTAAGCTTCTCAGATGTTACTGCCACCTACCTTTGCTCTGCTATCATGGGCTCCAACCCTCTGAACCCATAAATCCAAATTAAACTCTTCTATAAGTTGCCTTGGTCACAGTCTTATTACACCAATATAAAAGTAACTGAGAGAGCATCTCTATACTTATAGATGCAGAGAATAGAAGGCTTGACCAATCTTTATCTAGTCCATGTCTGGTTTGACTTAAGCAATGTTGAAGGATGTAATCACTCCTGTTTGACAAATAAGTGGGTTTGTTTCTGCTTAAGCAGTAAACATCACAAGTTCAGTGTTCATCTTACACGAGAACACCCATTGTTTCAGGTCTTGGCATTGGCCCTCTGTGCTGCTCTTGTGGGACAGAGAGGCCAAGGAATTATCAAAATCTACACAACAATCTGAATGCAGATTCTGCTGTAGAGCAAAAGCTCTCTGCCTCTGATCCAGGTGTATCTTATAGCATCTGTGATACAATAACAGGCTAATTTGTGAGCTTATAAATAGGGTAAAATTCAGAACTACAGTTATTGATAGACATCAACTATTTCATTCTTGGTAACTGCTAGTAATGTAGACACTACGATTTGACTATAAAAATTTATTAGGGCTGGAAAAATGGATATAAGGTTAAGAGTGCTTGCTGCATTTGCATAGTTGGGTTCCCAGCATCCATGTTGGGCATCTTATAAACCCATTAACTACAGCTCCAGGGCATGTGGTGCCCTCTTCTGGCCTCCTTGGGTGTGTGTGCATGCACACACACACACACACACACACACACACACACACACACACACACACACAAAATCTTAAAATTTATTAATATGATACAGCTTATTTTCCAAAGATTTGGCTAACCCTACAAAAATAAAACTCCATCTAATTCCTGTGAATTTATCTGTGTGTGTACAAGTCCAGTTATGATTTCACTGTCAGTCTGAAGCACTAAGAGTACTAAATCCAATGCTCGGCGCCACGCTTCAGTCTTTGGTGTAACAGTATCATAAACTCTGGGAACTAGCGCCAGGTTATCTGAAACACCTGAATGAAAAACTCCACCACTTAGTTGACTATATTTACTCAAGATGTAAGATGAAGGAGAGCCAGAGTTGGTGGCATTTTGTACATGATGTTGAATGAACGTGCTGGCTTCCACTGCTGATGGGTGAGTGGCAGTGTTAGACATGACAGCAGACAGGTATTCATGCCACCCACTTGCCAAGCACTTCAACACAGTAGGTCTGTAGACTGACAGAGATGAGGCCATCCAAGAGGAAGAATCAGGAAGCCATCCTGAACAAGCATGACTTTCTTTATTTATAGATTGCTCGGCAAGAATTTGAAGATGGCTAAGACATAAAAATTCAACAGCACCACCTCCAAGGAAGACCTTCTCCTCTTTTAGGGCATGATATAAACGATGTACACAGGACCAGAACCTGTCTTCCTTGGTTTCCATCTGAGCACTTACTGGGCAAGTGAGTACTGCTGTAACCAAATTAATTCCTTCTGTTTTTAACAAGATTGCCATTCTGTCGTTCCTGTCTGTATCATGAGGACTCGTCCAGAAGGTCACAGAGACCCCACTGCCCACACAGTCTTCATTCACTTGGGTAACGTAGGCTACAGGCACTGCTCTCGTGGCCTCTGCAAACGCTCGCAACACATTGCCACTCACTGACCCCATTACCAGTCGCTTGCTGTGCGCGCATTTTTCAGTCAGATGTTCAGATACATTTCCTTGTGCCAGGACGAGGTTCACATCGAACTGGACTAACACCTGCATCACACTCTTTGTCCACAGTTCTTCTGCACTGTCTCCTGGAAGCTTCCCACTATCTAACTCGGTCTTCCTATTTCCAGACTTATTGAATCCCAGGTGGCGGTAACTCTGTGTGAGGTCACCCTCGATGAGAATCACTCGGAAAGGCTGATCCTGCAATTCCTTTATCAGAGCACTACTAGACGTGGGTACAGCAGTGACATATCCTGAACAAACACAAGAAGAAGTTTCAGGTAAGCCGGGGAGACAGCAAGTGAGGAGTCTTGAGAGGTCGAACACAAACGGTGCCACGGAGTTGACTTGCTGCAGACGCACACTCTGCCACTGCAGCCTCACAGCTGCCTCTGCCAAGGCCATGCTGCTGCCGTCTCCGTGGCTCAAGCCAACTGCTAACTCCACCAGATCACTGCATCTCCAAGTTTTGGGAGTCGATCCGCACTGTTCTAGAAATCCATCAGGTCTGCTTATCCAGGGGCTATGCTCTGTCCTACTAAAATGCCTACTGTGAGTTAATGCTGACTTCCTGCAGAAAGAGTCTGTATACCGGCTGTGTTGCAGAGCTCGTGGTGTGTTTTTTTCCGTTTCAACCTTAGCCTGAGTTTTGAAGAGTTTGGGTGATTGTACATGTCTCCCAGAAAGACTGTAAACAGACAATAACTGAGATGCAGCATCTTTGAAATCATGCTTTTCCTGTAAGGACCCAGGATCTGAAGGGACTTGGAGAAAAGGACACAAGCTGACATCAACTGTTTCAAGTTTGTAAACTGTACTTGTGTTGTCCATGTGGTCAAATACATTGTATATGGGTACTTGAAGGGAAACTACTGCTTCAATGCAAGAGTTCAAGCCTTCGGACATTACTGAAACTATTGCTGGAGTGGGAACACCCAGATGGAGACATTCTTCAACAGCACTGCTCCATGCACCAACAAGAAACAAAAGAGTGCTGGTTCCAATTCTGTATGTGCCATTCTGTGCTTGAACTGCTTCGTTGAGAAGCTGCCCAACTGCACAGGTTAAATCCAGACCTTCGAGAAGCCTGACTGTTGAGCTGATTAACATACTTTCATGACACTCTGCATCTGTAATAAACTTGGAGGCTTTTACTGGGCCTAGGAAACTTCTTCCTGTTTGTGCAAATGATGAAAGCTGTTGTAGTCCCACATGCCTTCTTTTGTTTACGACTCTGTAAGCCATCACTACGAATAATTATCTGCAAATAAACAAACACTTGAAACTTTACTGAGTGATTGATGATAAGTGCTACATAAAGTGAAGAAAAAACAGCTCACACTTCTGGATATAGTTTCAACTAATGTGATCAGTGTGGTGATGCAGAAGAGTAACATAAGGGTGTGGGGGACAGGGTGGTGTAGAGAGGGTTGACCACTCCAAATGGCAGAGGAAATGGAGAGGAATACAAGGCAACAAGCAAGGTTTCCAGAAGGCAATCTGCAGAACGAGACTAGAAACATATTTGTGCTGTGACTTTTTGAGACAGGGTCTTTCCAAATACCTCAGGATGGTCTTAAATCTGTGATCACTGTCTCCATCTCAAGAGTGCTAGAATTACAGGTGTGTTCCATCATGTCATCTACAGGGTAACTGTGCAAGCTGAGCCAGCAAGCTGAAGGGGGTGGTAGTGAATGTACAAATATGTTAAAAAGAAAGGAAGTAAGAGAGGGAGGGAGAGAAGGAGGGAGGGAGGGAGGGAGGGAGGAAGGAAGGAAGGAAGGAAGGAAGGAAGGAAGGAAGGAAGGAAGGAAGGAAGGACGGGGAGAGAAGGAAGAAAGAGAGAAAAGGAAGAAAGCACTGTGAACTAGGAGCTATACAAGAAGCCTGGTATTGCAGGAATAGCATACATGGCAAGGAGCTGAAGGACCTAAGGCTCCAGTAGAGGAGTTGGACTATGAGGACATTTCATGCTGTGCCAAAAAACTTAAGCTTTATCCTATAATGGAAACCACTTGTGTTAAGATTAAAAAAATCACTTGATGTAGTGTTTCAAAGTTTGTACTTCTGAGTCTAGAGGCCTAGGCTTGAACTTTGCTCTACTGTTAATTAGGTGGCTAAGTGGATAGCCCTTCAGTATAGACATCTGGAAAATGAGACTAATCACAGAAGCTACTTCACAGCTACTCTGAGGAGTACAGTGCTCAGGACAGTGCCTAGCATACAGTTTTATGTGTGTTCAGATATATTTTCATTCTGGTAAGTTTGGACTGACTAGCTAAGTACCAGACTGAAAGGAGAGTAGCCACTTAATCTTCTCAGAAACATGGACAATGGGGAGAAAGATTTGAGTAATGATTACATGATGAAGGAAAAAGGGTGTTATTTAAAGAGAGATCCAAGGGCAATTGAAATTATTCAAGCTAATACTTTAGAAGTCACATCCAAAATGAATACCACCATGAGAAAGACTATTCAACTAAAAAGCTTTTAAACAATGGTACTTTCTTTCTTCTTCTTCTTTTTGTTTTTTTGTTTTTATTTTTTGAGACTAGGTTTCTCTGTGTAGCCCTGGCTGTCTTGGAACTCACTCTGAAGACCAGGATGGCCTTGAATTTACAGAGATCTGCCTACCTCTGCCTCCTGAGTGCTGGGATTAAAGCTAGGATTAAAGGTGTGTACCACCACATGGCTAATAATGGTACTTTCTAACTGAAAAACCATCTATACTAAAACTACTGCCTTGGGAGGTGTGAACTCCACTAGGTGAGACTGAAGATGTGAATACTATATGACTTTATGATTCTATGAATATTTTAATCAGAATCTTGTTCTAATAAAGACCATAACTCCAGTAAATTTGTTTCTGAACTAGCTACATTCATCTGTGAAAGTACAATTCCTCCAGAATAGCGTCTTACAGACTTTCAAGGACTAACTAAGGTAGAAAGGATGGGCAGGCCCAGCAATAATTAAGGCACTACATGAACTCTGTCTCAAGTCCTTTTTTTTTTTTTTTGGTTTTTCGAGACAGGGTTTCTCTGCGTAGCTTTGCGCCTTTCCTGGAGCTCACTTGGTAGCCCAGGCTGGCCTCGAACTCGCAGAGATCCGCCTGGCTCTGCCTCCCGAGTGCTGGGATTAAAGGCGTGCGCCACCACCGCCCGGCTCAAGTCCTTTTTTTTAAATGAAAATTTCAATCTTACATAATGAACACTTACAATACATATTCCTTGCTAACATCAAAACATAATATTAAAACATACTCTAGGACTCAACAAATTTGAATGATCATTAGGTTCATGTCTTACATCTATCTATCTGGTCTTACTTTTTCTCTTTCTCCTCATTCTCCTGTTATCACCATCTCCCTACTAAACTCTTGACTCTATTTATGAATGGTTTCAATCACTCCATCTAGCACATCTTCAAATCCTCTGCCTCTCTCTGATTCCATCTTACTTACCTTGTAAAGCTACTAATCTTGATTTAGTACAATTTAGATTTAGTACTTTCACAATGTTATCCAAACTACCACCTCTACCTTGCTCCAAAAGATTTAACAACCACAAAAGAAAACCTGGAAGCTACTAAGCAGTTACTCTATGTTTCCTTCTGTAATTGGTAATTGCTAATTTGCTTTCAGTCTGTTTTGACCTATTCTTGGTATTTCATATCAATGGAATCATGAAATATGTGCATTTTATTTAGATTATTTTGGGGGTTCTTCCACATGTATTAATTAACAATAATTCACTGCTTTTCATAGTGGAGTAATATTCCTTGGTAGGTACCATGCTTTATATATCTATTTATCCATTGCTAGACATTTGGGCTGTTTCTACTTTTTAGCTACTGTGCTTGCTTGTTTGTTTGTTTGTTTGTCTGTGCTACTGTGAACATTTCTGTACAAGTATATTTTTGAATCTGCTTCCAAATCTTTTAGCTATAAATCTAGACATGAAGTTCCTGGGCCATATGGTAATTCTATGTTTAGCTTAGGGAACTGCCCAGATGTTTTCCCAAACAGTGGAGCATTGCTAGTAGCAATGAACAAAGGTTTTGATTTCTCCACATTCTTACTGCATTAGTTTTCCAGGGCTGCTACTCAAAATTACAACTGTCAGGATGCTAAAACAATACACATTCAGACTCTGGAGATGATGATGTTGCAGGGCAGTGCTTCCTCTCAGGACTCTAGGGAAGGATCCCCTCTTCCAACTCCTAGTTACTCCTGACATTCTTTGGCTTTTAGTTACGTAACATTAGTCTTTGCCTGTTTCAACTGTCCTGTTTGTTAATTACAACATCAACTTACAGCCTACCCTAATCCAGTATGACTTCATCTTAACTAATTGCATCTACAAAGACTACTTTCAAATAAAATCACATTCTGGATGGATATGAAGTGTGTGTGTGTGTGTGTGTGTGTGTGTGTGTGTGTGTGTGTGTGTGTATTTGCACTATTCAGTCACTAGTACATTCAACAACTTTGTTTTGCTTTTGCAAAACTATAAATACCCTAGCAGATGTGAAAAGATAGCTCATCATGGTTTTGACTTCCATTTTTCTAATTACTAATGATATTAAACATCTTTTCATGGGCCTACTGGAAATTTATTTATCTTCTTTGAAGAAATGCCTATTGAAGTTTTCTGTCTATTTTAAGGGTGGGTGTAGCTTGAGAATTTCTCTCCAGCTCCCGCCAAGCCCCGCCAGTTCCAGAGCCCACTTATAAAATACACACACCGACTCATATATTATTTAAACTGCTCGGCCACTAGCTCAGGCCTACCATTGTCTAGCTCGTACTCTTATACTAAGCCCATTTCTGTTAATCTATATGTTGCCATGTCTTCCGTGGCTTTACCTGTTGCCTCTACATGATGCTCCCTGAATGGCAGCTGATGTCTCCTTTCCTCTACCTTCCTCTCCTTTTCTTCTCTCCTCTCTGCTAGTCCCGCCTATACTTCCTGCCTGGCTACTGGCCAATCAGTGTTTTATTTATACAGAGTGATATCCACAGCAGGTGGGTTATTAAAGGTTTGTGTTGTTGAGTTGTAAGAATTCTTTACACACGTCAGATAGTAAATCCTTATGAAACAACAGCCAACCTCACCCAATCAACCGCTGCAAAGACAATACTTGAAAAACACAAAAACAAACTATATCTGTTTCGAACATGTAACATATATTCTATCCTCGTTCCTTAAGCAATGTATTATAACAACTATTAACCCATTTTAAGAATACTATATACCTAAGTATGTGTGTAGGCTAGATTTAAATACTCCACCATTTTATGTAAAGCACTTATATATGTGTGGACTTTAGTTTCCATAGTGGAGTCTTAAATCATTCTCCTAAGGACAAGGAGGGAGCTACCTTATTTGATTTGCAAGTACAACCTATTGTTCTATAGGAAGTCTTTTCTGTTTTGATAATACAGTTTGACTCATAAAAATTTACAATTTTGGTAAAATTTAACATTTATTTGTTGATGCTATTGCTCATGCTCTTGGTGGTTAAAAACCCTCTGCCTGTTGAGACCCTTGACTTGCAGATGTCCATGTCTTTTACGGGCATGAGGGTTGTGATAAGAGTTCTGCTATGGTCTCCTTTCTAGTTCATGATTAAATAAGACACCACTCTGAGTGGAAAATAACCTAGAATAACAGGAAAAACCCATAGATATCTCACATTCAGTCTGTATTGAATTATGTTACAAAAGGTTTTTCCAAAGGATGGATTTCAACCATCTATAAGGAAAAAGTCATATATAACAGATAACAAAATTAATTCTCAAAGAGATCTTTTAGCATTTGAAGAATCTATTTCAAGTTTAAGTAATAACTGAAAGATTGTTTCAGCTTCCCTAACATCGGAAGAATTTCTAAATGGTTTCGAAGAGGTTGAACGGGGCTAATCACTAATACAAACTCAAAATAAGAATGCCTCATTTTCTAAGAGGATGGGTATAAAAAAGACAGTGAAGAGGATGGAAAAAAGGGTAATTTCAGAAGTGATTAAATACCTCTGGTAACTGTTCTTAGCATTTTCGTTCTACAGTGCCCAGCAATGATGTCTCCCACAAACAGGTCAATGTCATTACTTGTCAGATTAATGTTTCCTTAATTTTCAATCTGTAATTGGAAGGCAGAGTCAGATCATTTAACTGGGAGGTTGACTTTAGAAGTTTTCTTTCTAAAGATTGTAACTCGTCTTGGCTAAATATTCAGGTTAGAACACTCAGACATGCTTTCAGGGGTTATATTTTATTTCTTGATGGGTAAACCTAGAATTTTCATCATCAGAACCAAGTTTGTTCGCCTCCAGTCTCGACCTTACACCATAATCTCACCACAATACTCCACTGTGTAGAAGCTTCTCAGGAAGTCTTCACTCCTTTGTGTGGCAGAGAAAGTTCCCACCCTTTCATTTCTATGCTCAGAATCTTAGTCTCCCTAACTCACTCCAAGTAAAGGCCATGTCCTCACACAGCACTAAAATCCACGCTTCTTCCTTTCTGACTTGTCTAGTCTGCTTTGCTCAGGCCTCCTTGGTACTTTCAGAATATGCAAGGCATGCTCCCTACCTCAGTATTTCTACATGTCCCTCTTTCTGGAATGCTCTTCCCTAGGAAATCTACTGACTTAACTATCTTTAAATATTTCCCCAAATTTCCTTTTCAGGGAAGCCTACCCTGGTCAACCTATTACAAACCACAAATCTTTTTTCCTGTCATACGCTAAATACTATTTACCTGCTCCACTTTCTTTTTATTCTCTGGAACTTGGCAGAATGAGCATAGAACGTTTATTCTGTACAGGCCATCATTTTTTGTTGAACAATTTTCCAGATGACAATTCTAGCTAGCCCAAGGATCTAGACCACTGCCTGACCCTTGAGCACAGGCATTTGACAGATAGTTGTTAAGTGCCACCTTACCCCAAATTTGAGCAAACATTAAAGGAGCAAAGAGATGTTACTGTTAGTATTCCTCTTTCAATACCTTTGGATCCCTTAGTTGGGGCCCTTTAATTGCTTTTAAAGGGGGTTCCTCCTTCAAATGATAATTAGAATTGTCTCTAAAAAAAAAAAAACAACAACAACAACAACAAAAAAACAAAACAAAAAAACCCTGAAACGTAACTAAATGATTAACTGCCCCAAATCAACATTTACTTTTTCCTAAGTTTCTTTTAAGCTCACCAGTGGCTGCCGTGGTATATGATATGTGGAGTGCACTGGATAAATTTGGTAGTTTAATACTGTGTGTGGCTTTACTATCTTGCTAACTATTATTAAAGTTTTATGTACAGAATAGGAGTAGTCACTTTTCAAGACTGCATTATCCTAACCAAGTCTAGAAATTAGCATCCGAACTTATTGATAGAATTCCTGGCCACTCCCTCAGCTACATGACTGCACATGGTCTAGTAGCCAAACAAGAGGCTTTGTCATCCCAGGGCCTTATGTCCTACGTAATCCGTGTGCTGCGTGGTCATGTAATCTATGAGCATGCCTGATGTAGCTATGTACGCCCATATGCACACGTTGCGGTGAAATCCATAAAAAGAGGGTCCCAGACCTTCCTCCTCTCTCTCCCTGCACCATCATTTCCCGTAGGCCTAAGCACCCGCCTCCTGTCTCCTTTCCCTAATAAACTCTTACAGTGGGTTTTGTTGTGCCTCCTGGCTTTTCTCGAATGGTAAACAGTGCCACTTAATGGGTAACACAGCACAGCATAATAACACTTATCATTATTTTTTTTAAAGCTGGGCATAGTGGCAGGTGGATCTCTGAGTTTAAAGCCAGACTATTCTACCTAGTGAGTTCCAGGACAGCCAGAGCTACATATGGAAAAGATAATAATAATAATAATAATTTAAATCTAGAATATCCAAATTCCTAAATCATAGTGATGCAAAATGACTTAGCACTCCTTCATTCACAAAACGGTTTGAATGTGCATCATTTGCATTCCCACTGGGAAAACTTAAGACAGGAAAAATGGCTTCTAATGCAAAGGTAAACTTGGCTATTCCCCAGGAGCCTAAGATTTACGGACTACAACGTGTGTCTGCGAGGTGAGGAGCAGAAAGCCTGGCTCAAGCCACCCTGGGTCCACGCGAGGACATCGCCGGCCAGCACCCCCGCCCCCACCCGCCCACCGGCGAGCGCGGGCCCGCGAGCAGCTCTGAGGTGGAAAGGCCGCAGGACGGTTGGTCCAGTGCGTGGAACCCGCGAGACATTGCTCTCGTCCCCACCCTCCCTGCCCTTCCGGCCCACGGGGCCCACGACTCTCCTCACCGCGCGCCCCTCCAAACATCGCGGAATCCCAGGCAGCCCTGCGCTCAGTCCCAGCACTCTTTTCTTCCCATTGGGCGCAATGGCCGTCAATCACGGAAGCTGGTAGGCGGGCTTGCGCTCCGAGCGCGGCCTTAGCAACGGCCCGCCTGGAGCGCCAGCTAGGACTGGGAGGGCCGCTGTTGCGCTACGCGGGCTCGGGCGGGGAAGCGGGTTGGAGACATGGTGAGTGCTATGGGACCCGAGTGTGGTTGCCAATTTACTGACTCTCGTGCCAGGATCCTTGGCTACCCTTAGTGACTAAGCCAGGGGACAGCGGGCCACTGACAGCCAGAGGGCCATCAACTCAGCGGCAGAGGAGAAGGGACCACTGACTGAGCCACTGAGGGTCAGGGGGCCACCAACTCACTCACTGAAGAGGGCTACCTAATTAGCCACTTAGGATAAGGGGACCACCTGCTTAGCAACTGAGGGTCATCAACTCAGCCGCTGACAGGAAGCGGGGCGCCTAGTTAACCACTGATAATTAGAGGGCCAGCAACTCTTTCACTGAAGGGAAGGGGCCACTGACTCAGTCCTGATGGTCAGGGGTCCACCAACTCAGGCCACTCACAGCTAAGGGACCACTGACTTCTTGCTGAGAAAATGCAGACTCAGATGGCTGCCCTAGGATCTGGGACGACCACAGCCAATAACTAATATAAAGCCGGCCACTTAGATCCGCAGTCACCTCCAGGGCTTCCTCACTTCCACCTGCAGAGAGAAGAAGAATCTGTAGTGGTTCTGTGACCCGGCTGGGTGACAGAGAGAAGCGAACAGCAGAAAGGACCTTCATCTTCCACGCATTAAGCCAGACGTTCTCATCCAGATCTGTGGAGTAGCTGTTCACCAGAACTGCTTTTTCTCTTTTGTGCTCCTGTAGAATAGGACACTTGCTAGTGGAGAGTGGGAGAGGATAATTGTGTTCTAGGAAACATTCCCCACTCCCACCCCTGCATGTACTGTGATACGTATATGAAAGACACACATTCCTTAAGTTAGTACTTTCCTGATAACCCAGGACTAACTGCATTCTCATACAACACCACACAGCTCTACGCTGTCTTCCTTGTTGCTTCTCTCTTCAAAGGCGTTAGTTTTATAAGGAAAATCTAAAAGAAAAAAAGAACACCACACTTTCAATCAAGAGATGAATAACCATACTCGGGAGGCTGAGGCAGGAGGACTAGGAGTTCCAGGCCAGTCTGGGCTCCATAGGGAGACCCTGTCTCAAAAGGCAAAACAAACAAAAAAAGATATTAGTAACCAAAAGCATTAACAGGGGCTTGGGGATGAGCTCATTCTATAGGAGGAAATGGGATACTTGAACATGTGCACTCCGGTTATATAGTTTTCATCCACATGTGTACGTACTGCAGGCATCCAGCCACCGAACAACTCTAGACCAATGGAAGAAAAAAGCAGCGAAACTTGAATTGAGTGATGCCCAAAAACAAGAAATAAAAGAGGCCTTCGACTTATTCGATGTTGACAGTTCTGGAACCATAGACGTGAAAGAATTGAAGGTTCTGAAACTATTTCTAAGACATTTGAAAAACCACACTACTGTGTGTGTGTGGCTTGGGGGGACAGAACCCAGGGCTCTAACTCTAGGCTTGCCCACAGCCCATAACCGTAGTCTTCTGAAAGGTATGTATGTATACCTGCCCCGAGTCAACAATACAATATCTTTTAACATTTTAGTTGTGTCCTTGGTTGATGGGTAAGTCAAGACCCAGAATCATCAAGGTTATGGACTCGGTCACAGTAAGATCAGCTGTATGCTCTGATTGTGTTAGAGAACAAAGAAGCCATTAATTAGTAATTTAAAAGTTCAAGGTGAGATCACGGCATACTAAAATATATCCCCTTCCTGCTGCAGATTGCAATGCGGGCCTTAGGATTTGAGCCAAAGAAAGAAGAAATCAGACAAATGATAGCGGAAATCGACAAAGAAGGAAATGGCACCATTTGTTTTGAAGACTTTTTTGCCATTATGAGTGTGAAAATGGTACAGTCACTCTCCTTGTCAGAGAAATGACGTCAGAGCCTTGTACATGTCTGGGGCGGGAGCACTGGGATTTCTTGGAGGAACTGGAACTAGTTCTTTAAGGGCGGGTGGGATGGAATAGCACAGCAAGAACACGTGTTTTCCGAGTGGTAAAGATTGTAGAGAGGGTTCTATTGGAGGATTATTAACGCCATGTAGTTAAAAGGGAGGTTTATTTTGGGGGACAACTTACAACAAGTAAAGGGGTAGGTTACAGGATCTGGGAGAGGTGAGGTGCAGCCCAGCAGGGTTCTCTGGACAACTCCACTCAGTCTACCATCCGGCATCCAGGATCACCAGGAACAAAAAGAAGCCAGCACTTGTGGATCTTGGGTCTTAAGGGTTCCCATCTTGGCCCCACCTCACGGGCAGGTCATAGGTAGGCGTGACAATTACGTGGGGCTAGTACTTCTAGGTCAAAGCTGGAACAGCTACCCCCTACAGGGTTCTGTCAGGACATACTGACATCTGGCAAGATGGAAGGAGCACACACACCATGCCTTGGAGCTGGCAATCACTGAGTGCCTCCTTTTGCCACTGTTCCTGAGAATACCCCTGGCTCTTGGAGCTTGCTGTCTTACGTACCTCAAGGGCAGGTGTGAGTATGTTGAAATAATTATTACAAGGGCAATAGGCTGAGAACTCAGCCTCCTGGTACAAATGTGCACATACAGCTCTAGAATTAATAGACCTACTAAGTCCAGCTTGATGGAACAAATAAAAAAATTAACCAATGACATTGCATTTTCTAAAGAGTGAAAAGGATGAGAAAGAAGAAATACTGAAGGCTTTTAAATTATTTGATGACGATGCTACTGGCAGCATATCACTAAATAACATCAAGAGGGTTGCCAAGGAACTAGGGGAAAACTTAACAGAAGATGAATTGCAGGTAAATATTGTTTATTTTATAATTACAATGTGTGAATAATTTTATATGGCTTATATAACTTAGCTGTATTTACACAGTAAAAGCAAAAAAATTCCTGTTGAATTTCCATTATTATATATTTTTAATAGTTTCAGTCTCTCATGTTACATTTTTGTGTTCCAGGAAATGCTCGATGAAGCAGATCGCGATGGGGATGGAGAGATTAACGAGGAGGAGTTTTTGAGGATGATGAGGAGGACCAGTCTTTATTAGCTCTGCTTCTTGCCTTCTAGGAAGTTTTGACAGCTTGCCTGTTAAGCAGTTTAATAATGTGATACTTTGGCTCATTCATTTCCATTTTTAGTTTATATGCTCAGCTTAGTCTCTTGGTGTCTAATCTATGCAAGAACATCATTTAAGTCTGTAGTAGCAACAATAAAAAATCCATGACTTATTTGAACCTTGAACCCCAAAACAGTATTTTTACATGCTATTTTTAAATTTTTAGGTTCCAAAGACATTCAAAATTTATTTTTTATTTAATAAACTTGGCTCCCACATCCAAATGAAATTGTTTATAAAAAATCTGAAAAAAATAATATTTTTCCATTATATCCTTTTGTATGACTTTAAAAACGCCAACAAACTTGTTTTGTTAATCATTTCTTCAAATGTGTAAAGTATTAATAAAATTGACTTACGTAATTACTGGTAGTTACTACTGTGTTTTGAAGGAGGCAACTTGGTAATGGATTCTTTAAGAGATGAGGCCATTAGAGTTCCTCCTTTATTAATGAGATTAAGACCCCTTTAAAGAGTCTTCAAGGCTTATGAGGTGACTCAGCAGGTCAGGCACTTGTCACCATGCCTGACAACCTGGGTTTGGTCCCACGTGATGGAAGGTGAAAACTGGCTCCCACAAGTTGTCCTCTGATCTCTACAGGCTCACACAATACATAAATGTAATTTAAATTTATTATTATGTGTATGAGTGTTTTACCTGCATATATATTCGTGTACCATTTGGTGTCTGGTGCCCACAAAGGTTAGAAGAGGGCTTTGGAATTACAGAAGGTTGTGAGCTGCTATGTGGGTGCTGAAAATTGAACCCCTGGCCCCAGGAAGAGAAGCCTGTGCTTTTAACTGCTGAATTGTTCATCCAATCCCCATAAGTGAAATTTTAAAACATTAAGTCTACTTAAAAGTGGTGGCTTTTTTTTTATTAAAGCTATCAGAGTTAGTCATATTCATAGTGTATAGAAGGATTATTTCACAGAATTTTCCCTTTTTTGTCCAATTAAAAAGGAAGGTTTTAACCTTAACTCAGTAAAACTATATATAACAAAACAGTAATTAAGAATTACATTTACAACAACATCCAGTCCATTTGTATTTGGCAAAATTAGAGAAAATATTCTATTATTTATCTTATCTTTGGAGTCTAAAGTTTTATACCTAATTTACCTTTTATCATAACTAAAGAAAACTATGACTATCTAGTCTTCAACTCTGTCAAAGACCCCAGAAGTGTGAAATGTCACCTAATGACAGGGACATCAGGCTGTCTGGACAATCACCCTGGGTTCTTCTATAACATTGGGGCATCCAGCTTTGGTCTACAGGCCTGGTATATATGGCAGATATTTCTGAGAAGCAGAGAATTTTGAAGGACTGTCTACCTTGTCTTGGCAAAGTTTGGCAGTCACTTTCTTTTGCTTCCTGCTAGTCCAGTTTGGACAATATACTGTCAGCAATTGAGGCAAGGGTGGTTTCTTTGCCCAAATAGCCAGCTTTTGCCATAAAGAAAGCAAATGCCATATGGAGTTTCTTTGATGCCCATCATCATCTTTGAAGTAGATTGGTGCTGCCAGGAGCAGACATGTTTCAGTGTCATAAAAAGTCTTATGTTATTTAAACATATTGAATCACATATTCTGTAGGTCTTTGAAGTATTTGAAGACCATATCTATCTATATCTGTGCATGACCTTGAAAACATACCTGACATGACTATAAGTTTTACTATTATAGGTGAGTATTAATCTGTATTTCTTAATTACACATTACATTTTAAATGTGCTGCATAAGCATAATACCCTAAAGAAGAGTAGAAACATACATACAGCATAACAAAATTAACCTTAAATTTGTATCAATTAACCAAAATCCATACCAATGTGAAATACTTAGGATTAGTATTTGTTTTTTTAGTGTAAAAGTAAATTCAATAATCTATCCTTTCATCCTATTATTTCTATCCCCCCTTTTTTTAGAATAAAAGCTCTGAATTTAACCTCTTTTCTTTAGCTTTTTCTTTTCTTTAGCTTTTTCTTTTCTTTTCTTCTTCTTTTTTTTTTTTTACTATGACCAGTAATAACTTGTAACCAACGTCCCTTAAATAACAATAAACATCCATAATCCATTTTTTGGGAATGTGGGTGTAATTCTCTAGACTGCTTCCTGTGGCAGTATTCTTGCTGAGCTACTCTTGGCCTGGTTCCAAAGAGTAGCACTTAGCCCTAATTCTCCCTTTGTGTAACCACACCTTTTGTTTCTCTTATATCTTTGTTTCCCTTATCGCCCTATATGAATCTTGCCTGAGAGTCAAAGATCAGAAAGTCTACCAAGGATCGAAGGCCTATGCAAAACTGGGTCTAGGAAACCTGGAAAACCGTGGTACCTGAGAAACCAAGGAATTTGCACTTGGCATTTTATCTCTGGGAGCTCCTCTCAGGTTGATTTGAAGGTGCAGAAATTAACTGGCTAAACTGTAATTAGAGAGAAATAAAAATGCCCTAGGCAAAGGAAAAGGGCTTCAGTCCTTCTGAGGCTGGACCCCCCTGCAGCCATGAAAGGCTGGATTCATTCTTAAGATGCCTCTGAGTCTTCTTTCCATGGATTCGTGTGAACCCACACACCCATGCCCCAACAAACAGTGACAACTTCCTGTTGTCCGGGGGCACTGGTAATCGTTGGATGCTGAGAAAATTTAAGATAATGGTTAAATCTTGGCTGTAGTAGTCTGTGAGGCTGGATCATCTCAGTCAGCTGCCTTGAAGCCGTCCATTTTTATTGGTGTCTGGTCCCCTTGCTTTGAAACTACATAAACTTTTAAAGGCAACATACATATCTGCATTTATACAAGTATAGACTGCATTATACATGAGTCAGCCAAAGATGATTTTTTTGTTATGTGTTTGAACAGGTAAAATATACATCATGTGTCTAGTTTTTCTAGGTTTATTTCTTTGTATGTGGTCAGGATTTTCAGAGGGGTCTTCCTTGATCAAACCTGATCATCTTTAACTTTGAACAAATCCACAGTCTTTTATTTTCTGTGGAAATAAAAGCATAACCTCTTCCCCAAAATAACGTATCTTTTGACTTAAAGCTTGAAATCAAGATATTTTTTAAATATATAGGTTGGTTTAATCTAGTACCTTTTATAATCCAGTGTCTATTAGCAGCCAAAAATTTTAATGACAACACAATAACATGTAGGATCCAAACTCTCTGAGTCATTTTCATCTTTATGTGGCTTATTTCCTTTATATTACTTTACTCCTTTTTTAAGGACTTTACTATTATTTTAAAACTATATATTTATTTTTATGACTGTTTATACCTTCTCTTTTCTCTTCTAAGCCTACACATATTTTTTTTTAATTTTTTTTTGTATTTTATAAATGTTTTAAAATCTTATTTTAATTTGATGTTGACTTCCACATGTACCAAGCATGACACAGTGTATATGCAGACAGAACACTCATACACATAAAATAAAAAAGACATTTGGATATATATATATATATATATATGTTTTTCCAGACAAGGTTTCTCTGTGTAACCCTGGCTGTCCTGGGTCTCCCTCTGTAGAACAGAGTGGCTTCACTCACAGGGATCTACCTGCCTCTGCCCCCTGAGTACTGGGACTAAAAGGCTTGGGCCACCACCACCTGGCTCTGAAAGAGATTTTTAGTTTGGGGGGAAAATGCAATCATGAGCCAGCCATCATCATCCCTGTCTGTAATCCCACACTGTGGAGGCTGAGGCAGGGAGAGCCTGAGGATTTTAGGCCAACCTGGGCACATGATGTCTTGGAATGGAGTTCTCTGGGCTTA